GGGAGGTTCAGGGGTGACCTGGGGGGTCCCGGAGGGGTTTAGGGGGGATTTGGGGATCCTGGGGGGTCCCGGGGGGGGGTTGAGGGGTGTTTTAGGGGTCTCAGGATGACCTGGGGGGGGTCCCTGGGGTCTCCACCCCCTCTCGCAGCCATGACCCAGCGGGATGTGCCCGGTTCCACCCTGGGGCTCGAGGGGGTCCGGGTGGCTCAGGGTGGTCCAGGGGTGACCTGGGGGTCCCAGGGGGATTTGGGGGTCCCAGGGGGAGGCTCAGGGGTGATATGGGGTGATCTGGGGGTCCCTGGGGGGAGGCTCAGGGGTGATTTGGGGTGATTTGGGGGTCCCACCGCCCCTCGCAGCCATGACCCAGCGGGACGTGCCCGGTTCCATCCTGGGGCTCGAGGGGGTCCGGGTGGCTCAGGGGGCTCAGGGCAGTCCAGGTGGCTCAGGGGTGATTTGGGGGTCCCAGGGGGGAGGCTCAGGGGTGATTTGGGGTGATTTGGGGGTCCCACCGCCCCTCGCAGCCATGACCCAGCGGGACGTGCCCGGTTTTGCCATCGGGGGCCTGAGCGGGGGCGAGGCCAAGGCGCGCTTTTGGCGCACGGTGAAGCTGAGCGCCGAGCACCTGCCCCGGGACAAGCCCCGCTACCTGATGGGCGTGGGGTGAGTCTGGGGGTCCCCTCAGCCCCCTCCCCCAGACCTCAGAGCCGGCCGGGCTGGGGGAGACCCCCGGAGTCACCCCCAATTCGCCCCCAGCTACGCCACCGACCTGGTGGTCTGCGTCGCGCTGGGCTGTGACATGTTCGACTGCGTGTTCCCCACCCGCACGGCGGTAAGGGGGGCTGAGGGGGGGGTTTGGGGACCCCTCCCCGGGGTTTTGGGGGACCCCTGTAACCCACCCTGCTCCCCCCGCAGCGATTCGGTTCCGCCCTGGTGCCCTGGGGGTCCCTGCAGCTGAAAAATCAGCAATTCGCCAAAGATTTCCGGCCCATCGACGCCGACTGCGGCTGTCCCACGTGCCAGAGGTGGGCGGGGGGCTCTGGGGAGGGTCTGGCTGCACAGTGACACCTGCGTGGCCATGGTGACACCTGCGTGGCCATGGTGACACCTGCGTGGCCATGGTGACACCTGTTTGGTGGCACTGTGTGACCACAGCAGGAAGTTTGAGGAGGGCTGGGTGTGGCCCGGGGGGCGTGGCCCGGACCGGGTGTGGCACCTGCGTCACCCGTGCCCGCACATTTCTGCCCCTGCCGGGCACCGCGGGCACAGAGCCACGGCGGGCGGGATACTGGGAGCACTGGGAAGGGCTGGAGCTGCGACTGGAGCCCACTGGGAGCCGCTGTGAGTGACTGGGACGCACTGGGAGTCACTGGGAGACACTGGGAAGGACTGGGAGACACTGGGAAGGGCTGAGAGCAGCACCTGGGGTTAACTGGGAGCCACTGGGAGGCACTGGGAGCATTGGGAAGGGCTGGAAGTAGTGCCTGAAATTAACTGGGAGTT